TTCGACGGCTGGTCCCGCTGCGGCGTCGCCTCGTTGGGCCGCGGCGGCGCGGCGAGGGACGCCTTGGGCGACTCCCACTTGGGCGACCAGGGCGGCGCGGTGCCCGCGAAGGTCGGGTTGAGGGGAAACAAGGGCTCGCCGTCGCAGACCTTGAGCGTCAGGAGCTGGAGGATGGCCTCGACGGCCTTGGCGCCGCGGGGCGACGCGTGGGCGCCCTCGTCGAGGACGAGGGCCACGTCGTCGGCGCCGAAGGCCTCGAACAGCGCCTTCGCGTGCGCCGGCGGGATGAAGCTGTCCTTCGCGCCGTGGACGAGGAGCGTCGGCGCGCCGCAGGTCTTCACGGCGCCCGCGGGGCTCACGTCGTCGAGGTGGAAGTGGGCGTAGTAGTCCACGGAGCTCGCGACGCGCGCGACGGCGCTGTCGATGAGGTTCGTCGGCACCGACGGCGCGATGTTGCGCGCGAGGTCGCGGCACAAAGCCCTCAAATCCATGAACGACGAGTCGGCGACGACGGCCGCCGTCTCCGGGCCGAGGCGCGACGCGTACAGCAGGCACGTCGCCGCGCCCATGGACCGCCCCCAGAGCGCGACGCGGTCGACGCGGCACGCGGACCGCAGGTGCTCGTCGACCGCGGCGACGTCCGACTGCTCGAAAAATCCTAAACTCACGAACTTGCCCTCGGACTTGCCGCTCCCCGCCGTGTCGAGGGCGACGACGCTCAGCCCGAGGCTCAGGCAGACGGGCAGCGCCTGGAGCGCCTCGACGCGGCAGCTCGCGTTGCCGTGGCAGTAGATGACCGTCGGCATCGCGTCGCGCCGCCGCCGCTCGGAGTCGCTCAACGGCCAGTTATCTTCGAAGAAGTCGGCCACGAAGCTGCCCCGCTTCGCCGGCGCGCCGCCCTCGGCGTCGCCGTCGAGGTCGCGGTCGCGCCGCGGCAGCCACCGCGAGCACCGCAGCTTGAGGCCCCGGGAGTTCCGCAATTCGAAGTCGACGCGCTCCACGCGCGCGCCCCGAAACCGAAAAGCCGCGGGCCCGAGCTCGCCCAGGTCGTAGCGCGCCCGCGGCGGGCGGATGATCAGCCGCAGCACGCTGTCGTAGGCCTCCCAGAGCGCGCCGAAGAAGCCGCCGTCCTCGACGAGCGGGCCGTCCTCGAAGTCGTCGCGGCCGGACATGGACGCGCGCGCCGCGGAGCTCGCCGTCCGGCTCCGCGACCCCCGCGGCGACGCGACCCGCGCGACGTCCGGCGCCTCCGGCGCGCCGTCGCCCGCCGCGCCCCCGTAGATGCCCGCGTCGCTTCTTCTCGCGAGCGTCTGCACGCGCGAGAACGCCTTCCACCAGCCGAGCATCTCCTCGAAGGACGCGAAGAGGAGCACGAGCTCGCCCTCGTCGCCCGACGCCGACGACAGGGTCAGCGACGGCGTCTGCTCGTCGTCGCCGTCGCCGCCGTCGTGCACGTCGGCGTGGAGCTTCACCTGCGAGAGGTCGACGCGGCCGATGCGCTTGCCGCCGCCGCTGGGCACGCGCTCGACCATGAGGTCCACGCGGCTGAGAGCGTAGATGGGCTCCTCGTAGACGAGGAGCGGGCCCTTCTCGAGCCGGAGCCAGACCGTGCGCCGGCTCCGCGCGCCGCCGCCGAAGATCGCGCCGACGTAGGACCGCTCCGCCGACGCCTCGAGCGACGACGCGAGGCGCACGGCGGGGCCGCGGCGCTCGGGCCAGCCGTCGGCGATTTCGTTCTGGAGGCCGAAGAGGGACCCGTGGTCGAAGCGCACGGAGCACTGCTCGTGGAGCTCCGGCGCCGCGCCCTTCCAGAAGGACGAGCCGCGCTTGCGCGTCATGCCCTTGGCCTCGCGCAGGCGGCCCCCGCGGGGCGTCCGCGGGCTCGCGGCTTCCTTGAGCCACTGCATTCGGCTGCCAACTTCTCTACTCCCGGAGCCTGCCCTTCTCTACTCCGGGAGCCACTCCATATTGCCTCTGGCAGAAGGATTGGCGAAGATGCACTTCAAGTTTTACCTCAAGCATGCTAAAGCGTGTCAATCTAGCGGGTACTCGCGCGTCTCGCGCATCCAGCGGAGGACGCCGTGGTCGCAGAGGAGCAGCACGAGCTTGAAGGCGACGAACTCGAAGAGGTGGGCCCAGCGCGCCTCGGCGACGCCGGCCGGCCGCGCGGCGCCGTGCAGGGGCCACGCGCCGCCGCCGCCGCCGCCGCCGCCGTCGTCGTCGAGCCCCGCGGCGGCGTCGACGCAGGCCGCCGCGCGGCCGCGGCTCGCGGGCTCGCGGAAGCCGTCGAGCGCGAGGAGCTGGGTCCGCAGGCTCCTCAGGAAGGGCCGCACGAGGCGCGAGTCGTGGAGCCACTCCGCGAGGGCGATCTCGAGCTGGCGCGCGAGCTCGGAGCGCAAGTTCGCCTGGAGCGGGAAGGGCGGCTCGACCATGCGGTGCTGGATGTCGAACCAGAAGCTCAGGCTCACGGTGAGCTCGTCCGGCCGCGCGGCGGCGTCGTAGTCCGTGCAGACCTCGTGCCACCACCAGCAGGGCAGGAAGAGCAGGTCCCCGGGCCCGAGCGTGACCTCGAGCATGCGCGCCCGGTGCGCGCGCGGGAACGCGGCCGCGAGGTCGTCGGCGTCGAGGTCGACCTCGCTCCGGCGGTCGAGCTCGTGGTGGAACGGGTAGGGGCTCAGCTCCGCCGTCTGCGACGGGTCGAAGAGCCGGAACGTCTTCTTTCCTGCGACCTGGAGGTAGAAGTTGTCGACCTGGTCGTAGTGGAGCGTCGTCCGCGCGCGCGGCGCCATGGACCCGGACCCGACGAACAATTGCATCATCGCCCAGGGCCCGAGGTTGCACGTGTCGTAGAGCCTGCGGATGAAGCCGTGGTTCAGGCCGTCGACGTCGGCCCGCATCTCGTCGCCGATGCGGTCCGGCAGGCGCATGGTCCCGTCGCCCGTGGGCTGGCAGACGGGCTGCTGCAGGTAGAGGCAGCGGTCGGCGCGGCCCCGGAGGAACTCGTCGAAGGTCATGCCCGCGAACTCCGGCGCGACGAAGCCCTGCGGCGGCGGCGCGACGTGGGCGTCGAACTTGTAGGCCCCCTCGGGCGCGTCGAGCGGGCCCTTGACGCGGCTCCGCGTGTAGCAGAACTTCCGGTAGGACTTGGGGACGCTCAACACCTGGCACGGCTGGGGCCCGAGCTCCCGGCGGAGGTAGGCGGCGTCGCCCCACTTGGCCTGGGCCGCGGGGAAGAGGCGGCCGCCGCGGAGCACGCAGGCGACGCCGGCCTCGAGCAGCGGCCTCGCGGCCGCGGGGAGCGCCTCGGAGCCCGCGAGGTCGAAGGCCTTCGCCGTGGGCTTCCGGCCCCGCCGCCGGTCGACGGCGAACTCGTAGGGCGGGTCGCCGCCGGAGTCGCCCTTGGCGCGGAGCGCGTCGATGGTCTCGGGGGCCAGCGCGACGAGGAGCCCCCGCGTGCCCTTGCGCTCCGCGGGCGCCCAGCCGCGCGCGTCGTAGAGCCGCCGCAGGCGCGCGACGACGGGCGCGCCGGCGCCCCGGGGCGCGGCGAGCGTCGCGAGCAGCGCCGCCTCGAGCGCGCGCGCCGGGTCCGCCCGCGCGAGCTTCTCGGCCGCGAGCGCGAGGGCCTCCGCGGGCGCGACGCGCGCGGCGACGCGCGCGCCCGTGCGCCGGTTGAAGGCGAAGGCCCAGCGGTCGCCGCGCAGCCGCAGCCACGTCTGCGCCGCGCAAGCGCGCACCTCGAGCACGCGGAACGGCGCCCGCGCCGCGAGGAAGCGGCCCTCGATCGCGGCGCAGTCGAGGCCCGGCCCGGCCCGGAGCTGCAGCTTGACGCCGTCGAGCACCTGCCACCACGTGTCGCCGAGGCTTCGCGCCGCGGCGTCGGCGCCGGCGAGCGCGGCGAGCCGCCGCCGCGAGGCCTCCATCAGCGCAGGGTCCACCATCGATGGCTCGAGGGGCAGCCTCGCGGCACGTTGCAGGGCACCATGTTAGTGGCCGAGGCCGTAGACGCGCTTCGCGTTGCCCGCGAAGACGAGGGCGACGGCGTCCTCGTCGTCGCAGCAGCCCGGCTGCTCCCCCGCGAGGGCGTCGTAGGTGAGGCGCGCGGCGTGGTCGTAGGCGAGGCCGTGGGCCGCGTGGCCGACGAAGAAGTTGGACTCGTAGAGGCAGCGGTCCGCGCCGAAGACGCTGATGGCGTGCTTGATGAACTGGCCCGGCTTCTCCGACTGGAGCCCCCACTCCTCGGAAGCGCCGAGCTTGCAGAGGATGTTCGGGCACCGGTCCGCGAGCGCGGCGACGTCGCGCGACCACGTCTTGAAGTCGTCGCCGCCCGCGTTGTGGCCGCAGTGGTCCAGCACGAACGTCATGTCCGGGAACCGGGAGCTCTGCGTCGCGACGGCCGGCAGCGACTCGGGCCGGCAGCACCACTCCCAGTGGAGGCCCCGCGCGTGGAGCGCGCCGAGGCCCTCGCCGTAGAGCGGGTCGAGGCAGGCGAACTTGTGGGGCATGGGGTCGCCCAGGAGCACGACGCGCCCCCCCGCCAGACCCGCGGGCTTGCGGTGCGCGTCGCAGCCCGGGAGCCGCCGGAGGAACTCCTCGACGGCGTCGCCGCCGTCGGGCGCCGGCGCGTGCGCGACGACCGCGCCGATCTTGCTGTCGTGGCTCCGGCAGCGCTCCAGCGCCCAGGACGCCTCGGCGACCGCGTCGCCGAGCATGCACTCGACGAAGACGCAGCGGTCGACGTCGAGCCCGCACGCCACCGCCTGGATCTCGAACTCCTCCTCCGTGTACGCGTCGCGCCGCTTCGCGCCCTCGCCGAAGTAGGCCGCGTCGTGGAACTTGGACGTCAACCCGCCGACGCCGGAGAAGTGGACGTGGCTGTCGACGACCTCGCGCACGCTCTCGAGGCCCTTGGACTCCGCGCAGCAGCAGAAGCTGTCGAAGAGGCCGCCCTCGCCCATCCTTTCTGGCTGATTTTTCTTCGGCGGAACTAGAGATGCGACTCGAGACGTCCGCGAGCGCTGCGACGTGACAACGGAGTCTGCCGAGGCACGAGAGCCGGCCAAATCCCAATCCAGAGGGCGAAATCGGCGGCGTGTGTGGAAAAATGTTCACCATCTCTTCAACGACCCTTCAAGATTCGACGTCATGGCGTTGCGCGTAGGCTCGCGTAGTCTACCCCTTACCGAACATGTCCCCGAAGCCGGCGTCGCGCCGGAAGCGCTCGAGCTCCGCGGCCTGCGCGTCGATGGTCTCCTGCTTCGCGTCGAGGTCCGCCTGCAGGTCGGAGACCTTCGTCGAGAACTGCTCCGTGTAGTATTCGCGCATCTCTCCGAGCTGCGCCTCCTGGGCCTCGGAGAGCGTCGCGATCGCCGCGTCCTTCTCGCGGCTGAGTTCTCCGCGGAGCACGTCCGTGCGCACCTTCAGGGTCGTGTCGAACTGCTTTTTGAGCCCCGCCGTCTCCGACTCGTAGCGCGCGTCCATTTGGAATACCTCCTCCTCGAGCCTGTCTTCGGCCACGCGCGCCGTCTCGACGGCTCGGTCTCGCTCGCTTTTGAGCGCGTCGTTCTCTCGGCCCGTCGCGAGGCGCATCGCCAGCGCGCCCGCGACGGCCGCCGCGGCGAGCCCTCCCGTCTGGGCGAGCGTCAGTCCCGTGGCCGCCAGCACCGCCGCGTTCGCGCTCGCCAGCGACGCCGCGCCGGCGGCGCTGCCGGACTGCGCGGCGGCGCTCACGGCGGCGCTGCCGGACTGCGCGGCGGCGCTCACGGCGGCGCTCAGCGCCTCCGCCGCCGCCGGCCGTCGCAGGCCATCGATGCGCCGCAACTTTGGCGAGCAGTTATGCAAGGCGCAGGCGCACGAGCACGCGAGCAGCAGGATGAGGCGTCTCATGACGAACGGCGCTCAGATCGTCTCCCTCGGAGACACCTTGATCATCGGATCCCGCGTCGTCTCGCGGGTGTGGCTCAAGGCTACGATGCCCTGGAAGTTCACCATGCTGTGCCTTGCACAGTTGTTGAATGGCTGCGACGACGTCGGCGTCAAGTTCCCTGCCCTCGACTGGGGGACGGACCTCGCCTAGGCGGGAGGGGGGCGCTTTATGGTTTGTCGATCGACGGTTCAGCCGCTCAAGAGGGACTCGGCCGCGAGGGACTCGGCCGCGCGGTCGACGTTGAGGTCGTTGTCGACCAGTGCTTCTTCGGCGGCGTCGGCGTTGAAGCCCATTTCCACGAGCCGGAGGAAGTCGACGGAGCGCCGCACCGAGTCCGCGTCCTCGGAGCCCGCCGGGGGGCGGCGCCGGCGCGACCGCTTGCCCCGTCTGCGCGAGCGCGACAATTTCGGGTCGACCTGCGGCAGCGCCTCGTCCAGGTCGTCGAGCGGCGACACGAGCGGCGACGCGGGCGCGTAGGGGTTGTCGCAGACCGGCGACTCGGGCGCGTAGGAGCTGTCGCGGAGCGGCGACGCGGGCGTCTGGGGCGGCGCCGTCGAGAGGCGCGGGAGGCGCGCCGTCGGTCCGGAGGCGTCGGACGACGCCGAGGTCGCGGCGCCGAGCTGCAGCGGCGGCACGGCCGCGGCCCGGGACGAGGGCGCGGCCGCGGCCGCGTTCGAGGGCGACGGCGCGACGGCGGCCCGGCGGTCGCCCGCCGGGAGCATCGCGACGAGCTCCTCCAACGTGATGATGGGGATGCCGCGGTCCGCGGCGGCGCGCGTCTTGCCGTTGACGTAGGCCGGGTGGGGGATGATGACGAGGGACGTCGACGCCGCGAGGTCGGCGGCGACGTTCGCGCCGCCGCGCCGCAGGACGTTGCCGTACTTCACGGCCTGGTCGAACTTGACGCCCGTGAAGACGACGACGCGGTTGACGACGTCGGAGAGGGAAGTGGGGGAAGGGAACCGCAGCTCGATGGGGTTCGCGGAGCGGGCGCGGGACGCGGCGAGGTCGAAGTCGCCGGGCCCGATGAGGAGGTCGAAGTCCGCGGACTCGATAACCACGTCGGCCTTCGAGTCGGACCTCGCCTTGTGGTCGCCGGCGGCCACGACGATCGTGCCCGCGGCGACCTTGGCTTTCACCGTCGCGCGCAGGATCTGCTCCGCGAAGAGGCCGAGGAGTGGCTGCAGGTGGCGGCCGGAGCCGGAGAACTTGAGGGTGGTCCCCTCGAACGCCGCGCACGCCGCCGACCTCGCGGTGTCGACGGCGGCGGCGTCGCCGGCGGTCCGCGCGAGCACGCCCTTCAAGGACGCGATCGCCGCGACGACGCCCGCGCCGCGCGACGCCGGCGCGGCCGTGGCCGCGACGCGCGACGGCTCGAGCGTGCCCGCGGCGCCGCGCGGCGCCACCGGGAACTGCGGCGCCGGCCTTGGCACCGCGCGCGGCTCGAGCGACCAACGGTCCCCCGGCGGCCCGCGCGGCGCGCCGTCGGCCGTCGGCAGCGGCGGGTAGCCCGGCGGCGGCATGCCCGGCGGCGGCGGGTAGCCCGGCGGCGGCGGCGGCATGCCCGGCGGCGGCATGCCCGGCGGCGACATGCCCGGCAGCGGCAGGTAGTAGCGCGGGTAGTAGCCCGGCGGCAGCGGCATGCCCTGCGGCAGCGGCATGCCCTGCGGCAGCGGCATGCCCGGCGGCAGAGGCATGCCCTGCGACAGCAGCATGCCCGGCGACAGCATGCCCCGCGGCGGCGGCGGCGGCGGCAGCGGCCGCGGGGGCTCGCGGGTGACGAGCTTCACGAGCGTCTCGTCGTCGGCGTCGCGCAGGAAGTGCGGGTGCGACCGCCGCACCTCATACCGGCCGGAGCTGGAGACGCTCTTGACGTGGTACTGCTGCATTTGAGACTTCAATCCGGTCCACGACGTCATCGTCGCACCCACGGCGCGCATCTGGTCGACGAAGCGCTTCGTGTCGAGCACGTGGAAGCTGGTGCCGTCTGTGTGCCACTTCGCGACGTCGTCGGGCGACGACGCCAACGCAGCCTTGAGCAGCAGCGGGAAGGGCACCTCGTAGCGATAAATGCGTGAGGGGGGGACGAGGCCGGGCAGGCGCTCCGCGAGCAAGAAATAGCGGCTTGCCAGCGCGCTTTCGGACCGCTTCGAGCCCGTCATCGTCTCGAGTTGCTCGGCAAGAGCACTCCACTTGCCGCGGCCTGCGCAGGCCTGCTGTGGCAACGAGGCCGATCAGCGACTGGTCCTCGTCGTCGGTCCAGCGGCGCCCGGTCTCGCGCGGGATCGCCGCGAAGCCGCCCTGCTCGATGGCGAGCTTGCGCAAGTCGGACACGGGGCCCGGCGCGAGCGCCGAGAAGACGACGTACAAGCAAAGAGAGTTGTCGGGCGCCGCGGCGACAGAGGCACCACACTCATTAGTGTTGATGTCGCCGATAGCGCGGTAGTAGGCGAGCACCTTCTGGTGCCACGCCTCCTCCGCGCCGTCGGACGCGCCGTGAGAGTGCTTGTCTGCCTTCCAGGAGCCGATGTTGGCGACGCGAAAGATCACCGAGGCTACGTTCGCGTCGCCGAAGATCAAGCCCAGGAGGCCCAAGTTGTTGTACTGGTAGGTGTGCGAGTACACGCACGCCTTGCAGCACCGCAGGTCGCGGCTGCCGCCGACGTACACGCACCCCTGGGGGCCGCCGGCGACGCGCGCGGCGTCCTGCATTTGCTGGCAACCGACGGACGCGAACAACTTGTCCATCGTAGGCACCTCGATGATGGGGATGTCGCGCCCGGCGAGCGTCGCTATCTCCGGGGCCATCGCGCCCGCCGACGATCACCGCCGCCGCGAGGAGCGCGCGCGGTCCGCCGGCGCCTGCCGGCAGCCAGATGGCCAGCTGGGCGATCCTCCTCGCTGGCTAGCTTAGGTCCCTAGTTAAATTACCGACATATAGACGCTCTCACCGCGCCCTCTGGTCGCCGTTGCGGAGCCGCCGCACGTCGTCGCTCCGCCGCGCGCGGGCGAGGCGTCGTGGCCGACCGCGTCGAAGACCTCGAACATCTCGCTCGTGGTCTGGACCTTCGTGACGGTGTCGAGCCCGTCGCTCGTGGTCGACACCCTCGGCGTGTCGCCGTCGAGCACGGCGGCGTCGTCGAACACGTCGCTCGCGGTCGACGCCCGCGACGTGAAGCCGATGCTCTCGTCGAAGACCTCGAACATCTCGCTCGCGGTCGTGTCGCTCGTGGTCGACACCTTCGGCGCGTCGCCGCTGTCCTGGTCGAGCACGGCGGCGCACACGTCGCTCGCGGTCGACGCCCGCGACGTGAAGACGACGCTCTCGTCGAAGACCTCGAACATCTCGCTCGCGGTAGCGAGCGAGCTCGACGACGTGCAGACGGAGATCTTGATCCAGAAGAAGCGCGCGCACGCGCGCCTCGTCCGACTGCGCGAGGTCGTCGACGACGGCGGCGACGCGCTCTACACGTTCGTGGAGCGCGTCGAGTTCGGCGGCTCGGTCGCGGTGCGCGACCCGCAGACGAACACCTTCCCCGCCGCGGCCGCCGGCGAGCCCTGGTGCGGAGCGCTCGCGGCCGCGTGCGGCCTCGACGTCGCGCCGCGCATGTGCACGCAGCAGCGAGCCCACGTCGCGAAAACTTCGAGGCGCTCGAGCGCGGGCCGGGCTGCCCCTGGCGGGCAGCGTCGACTGGATGTCGAAGACGCCCGCCAGCGTCGTCGTCGCCCGTCGGCTCGTGCGGCGCGAAGCGCCGAGAGAAAAACACGCGAGTTTAGCGCTTTGGTGTCTACGCTCGCACGCCAGCCGCCTGCGGCGCCGCCTCCCCTTTGAGCTCGCGTCTGTGTGACCTTACCCTGGCGTTGATCGTTGCATGCATCGTTGGAGCGCGGCAACGCCACTGGTTTTCTCGTTGATGGTG